TTCCTAGTGTGTTAAGAATTTGGAATATGCCTGGAGCCAGTGGCTCGTGCCTATAATCTTAGGAAACTGAGACTTGGAGAATTGCAATTCAAAGCTAGTTTGGGCAGTAAAGCTTGCTATATTTCATCTCCAAATAAGCAACAAAATCAAGCCGGAGGTATGGCATAAGTGTTAGAATGTCAGCCCAGCAAAGGTGAGGCCTGAGTGAAAAGTACTGGAAAAGAAAGAAAGGAAAGGAAAAGAAAGGAAGGAAGGAAGGAAGGAAGGAAGGAAGGAAGGAAGGAAGGAAGGAAGCAAGGAAGGAAGAGAGGGAGGGAGGGAGGGAGAGAGGGAGGGAGGGAGGGAAGGAAGGAGGGAGGGAAGAGAGAGGGAGGGGGAGGGAGAGAGAGAGACAAGGGGGAAGACCAGAAAAGGAGGAATGGAAGCAAGGAGAAAGGGAAGGAGAGGGAGAGAGATAGATATTTCTAAATATATAGCTATCTGGATAAATGAATAACTAGTTTAATGGAAGACAGTGAACAAGGAAGATCGTAGCTAGAGAGTCACAAAAAACAGGACCTTGTAGAGCATGATACAGGCTCTGAATTGTGTTACCTATGAGATATGAAGCCATTGACTTGCTTCAAGTGAGGAACTTCATTTTAAGAACAGCCTGGTTGCTATGTTCCAGGGAAGGGTACAGAAGCAGCAGAGAAACTTGTTTAGTGAAATTGCATCAGCAGTAGAGACTTGAATTTGGTAGCAGCAGATTTGGAATGTCTGCAATTCAAGGAGCCTTTGGGATGTGCAGATTGACTTTATGTCAAGTTAAAGGGCACACTGAAAAAGAAATAGGAGAGCTGACCAGGAAAAGTTTGGTTTGGCCATTGTTGGCCAATGGTGTTGTCATCCACTAAGATGAAGGAAAGGGATTGTGGAGGGGAAAATCACTGTTTTGGGTTATTCTGTGAGATGCCTTTAAATAGATGTCAGTAGTGATATCACTGTGGGACACTGGAACTCAGAGAAGCCATCTATCTAAAGCCATGACTGTCACTATAGTCACTGACTCACAGACCCTGTGAGGAGTGAATTCTGGTAAAGAACTCAACTCATGTAGCTGGACCTGAGGATACACAGGGAATTTGAACCTGGACTTCAAAAGGTCCTAAAACCAACATGGAGAGGTCAAACTTGGTTGGAGTCAATTAGGCAATTTCACATACAAGATTTACATTTTAGATTAGTCATTCATAGATGATCACTGCTGTGTGAGAAGGGGATAAGGGGACAAGACTCCAAGCCAAATATGAGGGCATCGTGTAGACCGAGTACAGATTGGGCTGTGGGTGCCCTCTATGCCTGGTTAAGAGTGACTACAAAAAGCCAGCCCAGGCTCTCTTATATTCTAGTCAGATGATGATTCGTTGTCTCCATGAGACTCAAGGAGGAATTTGTAGCTCATATTGGTGTATGGCCAACCCTCGAAGGACCCAGAAAAGGACTCAGCTCCTCAGATTCAGCAGACCTAGTCAGCATCTGAAGCTAGTTAGCAGATTCATGGTTCTTTAGGAGTCCTTAACCACCTCGCCTTTTGTCCTCTGCGTAGGCTGATCTGCTTGCAAAGAGGTTAAGCACAAACCCTGGTTTCAATAGAATTAAATGAGGTCAGCAATCTGGTCTTGACATGAAGCCCTTAGGGGTGGGGGTGGGGTGGGAGGAAGGACAGTATGAAGTCAAGATATTTCTATTCCAGAAGAAAGTCATGCCAACACAACTTCTCCCAGATTCCCCCCCAAACTTTGCCCTCGTAAAGTTAAGACACTACCACTGTCCCTATTCCAAAAAGCTATTATTTGGATAGAAAGATTGCACATTTTTTGGTCTTTTGGTGGTGGTGGTGCTTGGATGAATTATGTGGCACAAAGCTTGTTGTGGTTGGACTCAACCCTAAACAAATAGCTAAACTTAAAAATATGATTTTTTTCTAGTCTTTCAAAAATAGAAAAATATAATAATCTTTGGGCTGAGGGAGTTTCTTAATGCCAATCACTGGTCCCTGAGCTGGAAATAGAAGCAGATGCTCATTTCTCAAAAGCTTATAAACAAGAAGAGAGATAGGTAAATCCACACATTCCTTTGGAAGGTAGCCCATTTCAGAAGAGCACAGATTCGAATTAAGTCCCACTAAATTGAGTCCATCTCCCATGCTCAAAAAGCCTCACTTCCCTATCTGCAGGTAGCTGGCCTATGTTCTTCAATGATCATGACTCTGAGAGCCTTTCAGGAACATAGGTGCTGGTATTTCATCTTTAGGCTCCAGACAAATAAAGACAGAAAATTAAGTTGACAAGGGGCTGCATTAAGTGTGTCTGACCACTTACACACAGTCCATATGCTTCCAGTTCTAGGAGCTGAGCTCATTTCTTCCAAAAGGAAAAGAGCTTTGCTGGCTTATGAAAACTCAACTGAGGAGGACAGACTTTGTCAGTGCTGCCCCACCCACATCAAACATCCTGGCTGGATAGAGTAGACTTCTTAATGTGTCACCATGTGGAAAGGGGCAAAGCTGAAATGAAGAGTTCCCTCATACTTGGGAAAATTGGGGTTAGATGGAGAGATCAGACTGCCCAGTGAAACCCCACCGTAAGCCAATCCCCCACTGGTCTCTCAGAAACTTTTCCTTCAAAGGATATCGAGTCGATAGTTTAACAAGAATGTGCCCACCAGAGATTCTAAAACTTAGTCATTCATTCACTCAACAAATACTTGTTGAAGACGGTGATTCAGTCCTGTAATCCTAGCTTCTCAGGAATCTGAGATAGGAGGATCGGTGTTCCAAAGCTAGCCAAGGCAGGAAAGTCCATGAGACTGTTATCTCCAATTAACCACCAAAAATCAGGAAGTGAAGCTGTAGCTCAAGTGATAGAGTATCAGCCTTGAGTGAAAAAGCTAGGGGACAGCATCCAGGCCCTGAGCTCAAAGTCCCGTTACTGTTTCACACACACACACACACACACACACACACACACACACACACACACACAGAGCCCCATACAACTACTTATTGAAATTTTGTGGTGTGTGTGTGTGTGTGTGTGTGTGTGTGTGTGTGTGTGTGTGTGTGTGATATTATTCACACTCCTCACCCAGTGGAGCATATCATTAAGGTCTTCTAGCTGGTACATGAAAGGCAGGGTAGTAAGATGATAGACCTTGCTAATGACTTCAGACTCTTCACTGCAACCCACTCAGGGTCCAGCATGTAGCCTTTAAGGAATGCCAAAGAAACTAACGTGACAAAAAAGAGAAGACCACTTTGGTTGTTCTCTTGCTACTGTCTTTGTTTTTCCTGGGCCACACATTTGTATTCCATTCCTTATCTTGTTCTCTTCAGTGGTTGGGGCAGAGGAGTGGAGAGGGAGTAGAGAAGGAGAGAAGGAGAAAGAATCCCCCAGACGAAGGTTGGCAGATGGAGCTGTGAGGCTCCCAGGACTCCTAGTGACAAGAAAACCTGAATAGTAGAGTCCAAGGATGTTATTTTTAAAAGAGAGTCACAAATAGCTCTGTCAGCAGAATCTTGGAGAAGAAAGGAAACATGCTTCCTCTCTCTCTCTCTCTCTCTCTCTCTCTCTCTCTCTCTCTCTGTCCCTTTCTCTTTCATTGCCCTCTTTTGTTATTGTTCTTTTCTCTTTCAACTTTATTTTTGCCTTGCTGCCTATCATCCATTTGCCCATCTATCTACCTGTGCCCTTATGTACCTACTGTGTCCGCCTTTCCCTATCTCCATTCTCATTATTCTCAGGCTCTGCTGGTTCCAAGCAGATTTATTACCATATTAAATGTAATTTTTTAAAGAAGAAGTTGGCCTTTTTGTATGAGTTTACCTGTAGTTTCAACTGTTTTTCACACTGAAGGTTCTCTGCAGAAGAAATGAGTCATTTTAGAGGATAGACTTTCTATAATCATTATATATAATCCCTCCCTATTTATCTTCACCATAGAAGAAGAAGAGGAGAAATATGGAGCCAAAGCCAGGCAACCTCCTGATTTTAGGCATCAGAGCTTGTATGTTCATAACTTGAACATAGCTTATATGTCCAGCGTGTAGAGAAGTTCTCACTTCTAAGCATAATAAGTTGGCCTCTTACTTCTAACTCTGTTGCCAGCTTTCTCTGTGACCTGGAAGCAGATGCCATCCCATCCTCAGCTCTCAGTTCTGTTTTGCATAAAATGCAGAAAGGAGATGACATTGTACACATTATCTCACATAATCATGGTAACAATGCTGGGTGAATATCCTATCTCATTGATTTATTTGTTTGGATGAGAAAAATGGAAACTTAGAGAGATTCACCTTCTGGGTCACTGAGTCCTGATTTGAATCTAGCTTTGCCCCAGGTCAAAACTCTTTTCTCTTTTCAGTCTTCTTTATTGGCTTTTAGAGAGTTAAGTCTGGATTTATGTCTGGTCATTCTTAGAGTGGACCTGAGTTATTAGATCTCTAAGAAGGCCAAAGCCACTGTCAAAGTCCTGTGGTCTTTCCATGTTTAAAGTGCCCAGCATGCTAGCAGTTATAGGAGATCTCAGCTGGTTCATAGCTATCCTTCAATAACTGAACTATAAGGAACGGATTGATTCTGGCTCTTTCCATAATATTTCACTATGTGAACTATTTACAGAAGTAAACAAGGGATTTGTTGAGCTTAGAAGATACTCAGCAGTCTGCTGCCCCTAAACCATTTTATGACCATTTTATCAGATGATCAAACATCCTAGAAATTCACCTAGTGTTTAACTGAAATTCTGATTGTTTCCTTCTAGAACAGCCTATGCTGTTACCTATGGCAAGATTTCCCTTTTCTCTTAAGGCAGAGGGATATTTTATTGTGACTAACAATGAATGATAGCCTAGACAGCATTCATGATTTTGGTGGACTGATCCCATATTGACTGCTGATGGTTGAGACCAATTAACAAGTACTTATCTTTCTCTCTCCTTGTATATCCATCTCTTACAGATGAGCCCAGCCGGTGCTATTTCCATGATGGAGATGGGGTATGTGAAGAGTTTGAACAAAAGACTAGCATTAAAGACTGCGGTGTCTACACACCCCATGGGTTCCTGGATCAATGGGCATCCAATGCTTCAGTTTCCCATCAAGACCAGCAGTGCCCAGGCTGGGTTGTCATCGGACAGCCAGCAGCATCCCAGGTAAGGTCCCACCCCCTACACACCTCCTGAAGATGCTCTGAACCTCTTCTGTGCTTGCCAGAAATGCCCACCTTACAGATATGATGCCATTGGATGTGACCACATGAGCATATCTTTAGCTACATGTAATATCAGTGCCTCTTGACCTCTTGGGTACCATTTGTAAAGAATTAGAAATACAGTGGCCAGCTGAGGGAACACCAGTGTAATGGAGGTAATGACTAGCCTCTTTTGTCCTTCCCTACTTAATTCCTTTGTGGGAAAGAACTCTACTCTGGCTGGACTACTGGAAATCAGTGGGGGGATGGGGGTAATGACAAATCCATTTGAGGAATTCTCACTTTTAAGGAGGTTCTTTCTACTTTAAGGGTGTAACTCTACCATCAGTATGTTGTATGGCCTTGTGCTGGTCTCCTCACCTTCCTGGGCTCTATGTTTCTTTCCGTCTTTGAAATGGAGAGTAGTTGAGCTTGATGATCTCCAAGGATCTTTACACTTCTAAGAAGCTATGACTCATTCCTCAGTCCCCTCATGGACTATTTATTTGCTATGTTTTTCCCACAGGGGACTGACAGCATAGTTGAGGGAGTGAGAGTTTTGGGGCCACCAGAGCTTGTATGATGTTGGGGATGGCTATGACTTCCCCAGAGCCCCCTTTCTAATTATCCTGGTGAACAAGCCACCTGCCTTCTTCTGAAACTCATATGTCTTAGAGACCTGACACAGTGGTTCCAGCTATCCAGCCCAGTAGCCAACTCAGCCATATTTCCCAGATATTTCTTTCCAATTTCTTGATGAAAGAGAAGGATGCCCTTCTCTTGGGCCAAATGAAGATTCATTGGGTGAAGTACAAGATAGGATCACTTCCTTGACTCTTTTTTTTATTTTGCATTTGTTTGACCATTATGTTATCATTTTGCTTATTGTTTATTTATTTACATTAGTGTCTGAATGCCCTGAGGAGGGTAGAAATAAATGGGAACATGGTGCTCCTCATCCCAGCCTAGGGAATAATGAATGCACACAAGGAAGGGTCAGGGTTCACCTTCTCCTCATGCCTCACCTCCACCATGTGATTGCAACTTCACCCTGAACTCTTTATCTGTTTGTTCTCTTGCTTCCCTCAGAACCCTATCACTTCCTTGTGAATAAGTTTGAGGTCCACTCATCTCTGTCTCTTGTCTTTAAGCGCAGAATCTAGGTTAAACTAGATGCTCAGAAAATGTCTGTTTTCTTGACTGTAAACACACACACGGTGCAAATGACACCGAGAGAATAGCTCAGGTATCACTTCTCTGATCACATGGAATGTCGAGGAAATCCAAATCAATGGTAGCATCCATTTCCTAGAGATGCTTAAGAATATCACTCCAACATGGGAATTATTAATGCATTTGGAACCTCACATTAAAAAAAATGTTGAGGTAGCAGCTGTGCCTTAAAACCACCCAGAGCTTATTGTTACTGATCTGAGCAAAGGAGAGAAAGAATTTTCCAGTCTTAGCATTTGAAAAGAGGCTTCATGGGACAATTATTCCACTCTTGTAAGGAAAGGGCTGTCAGGAATTATGGGTGATTATCTCTTCCTAAACAAAAATCCAATTAAAAAAATCATTATAAATACTAGCTCTTCGATTTACAAAGAGGAGATGAGGATACAAAATCATCCCTATTGAATTATTCATTGTAACCAATTTTATTTTAATGAAATCGACTAGGTTCCATTACTCTGGGTTTGGACATAATCTTTGTTACAAGGAGACTTCAGCTGTAACTAAATTTGCCATAATGAGATCAGCTCACTGGAGAATACAGGGTCAAGGGAGAGAATATGAGTACAGGCTAGGTGTGGGGCCTGGCAGGCGGAGGTCCTGGGAGGTGCAGAGCAAGAGTCTTCTGAATTCTTTCTCGGAGAGCAAATGCTTAGATATCATGAGTGAGTATACTTGCCCCCACCCTCATGCACACATGGGCAAACATGGACACCCATGTACACATATGCGTATGATGCAAACACACACATTCACATTTGCATTTCCAAAACGATACGAATCCTGCATGATTCAGGAGAAAGACTATTCCTAAAGGGAAAGGATAGCTCCCTTTCAACAGCAGAGAGGAAAAGGAAGTGGGACTCTGCCCTTCATTATATTGTTCAGTGATTAAAGGAGACTGGTAGTTAATTTTCACCCTGTCAGGGCCTCCAGTGAAGATAGTGAAGTTGTTGATGACATGGGGGGGGCTTGGAGGTTCTTAGAAGTTGAGCTTAAGAACAGAATTGGAAGGTATACCACGTGTCCTTCATCTTCCTCCAAATCCCCCTTTCTTTGTCCTGCCCTCCCCTCCCTTCTTCTCCTTCTCTCCCTCTCCTCCCTTTCTTCTCTCCCCTCTCACCCAGACATACACATTCATACATGAGTAGGTCCCCATAGCAGCTCAGAACCAGAGGGTGACCAAAGCAAACACCGGGGAACAGAGCAAGGGAACAAGTAAGTATCATAGCATCTTCAAGCCCAGGCTACTCCCATTTCCGCACAGACTGACACTATTCCATGGCCCTTGCTGTTTACTAGGACACTTTTTAAACTTGAGGAATGGAGACCCTTTTAATCTAATTTACCCAAAGCTCTGCCTTTCCTTGATCCTGTAAAAATGATATGTGCAAGTACTTAGTGGAGCTATGTGGCCACCTGTATGACAGAACCTGTAGAAGAAATCAAAGAAGTGTGAAAACACAGCTCCTGACCTTGTCACGGTGTAAGATGTAGGTGTGAGAATTTCATCCAAAGGCAAAAGCCTCATCAGATTGAGTCTTGAGGCTCTCACGGCTACTGCAAATGAGCAACATTCTTAGTGTTGTGAGTTCTAGAATACTGATTAAAACTTCACTTTGGGTATTGCATATGCCTGCAACATTTCATGATTTCCAGTTCTTTTCATCCATTGTTCTTGAACCAGATCCCCAAATTTGGTTAGAATAAAGCTAATCCTGAATGCTAAATCTCATATCTGAATATTATCAGAAGTATCAAAACTTCCTGGTTGTACAAACTGGGCTGAACATCCTATAATAAGAGACATTCTTTGGATAGTTTGGCCAGGTACCATCTGGGCCCAGCTGCAATCAAGAAGTTCCTGAGACAGAACTGCCTACCGCCACCCCTCATCCCCCAGCAAAAAAAAAAACGGAATTGAACTGAATGAATCATGTTATCTCTCTTCTAGAGATCTCAGAAATGGTTTGGCTTAAGTGCTTGCAAAGATCTTGTCTAGTTCTTATTTTGTCTCCGTGTTTTACATTGTTCTAATGCTTTAGAACAAAGGCTGCCAGGATATGACACAGATAGTTCTTCTTTTTGCTCTCACCCCTAACATTTTTTTTTAACAAAGCTGATTTCCTCCTGGCTCTCCTGCCAACAGGCAATGACCTGAGGAGGAGGTGGAAGACCCAAGACAATCAGGAATTTATAGTTTCTCTCCTAGGCATTGCAGATCCTCGGTCAAAAGACCATTGAATTTGGTTAATCCTCTGAGGATAAAATTTAGACTATCCCTTTCTCAGACAGTAGTTTGAGGACTAAAGTAAAGGAAAACTTTCCTAAGAATGAGATCTATCCACATTAGAATAGAGTGTTGTGGAAGTTTCCACCATGGAACAGGAGAAAGCAGAACCCCTGTAAACCCATTATTGGTCATCTCTGTTGTTTCTCACTTCAGTTTGAGTGGCTAGTATCTATTCTTTGCTGTGACCATAATACTATGCCAGGTGTCATAAAGATCTAGAGAGTACATGCCTGTAATCCCAGATACTCAGGAGGCAGAGGTGGGAAGATCCTAAGTTTGAAACCCAACACTGACAAAAGGTAGTATGATGTTCTGTTTCACAAACATTTTTTAAGTTGGATGGAGATATAGTATAAGGCCCAGAGCCTAAGTTTTATCCCCAGCACTCAATGAAAATAATCTATCTCTTGATTTGATTGAAGAAAAATTTATTTAAGTCTTGCATTTAAGAAATATAAAAGAGGGGCTGGGAAGGTGGCTCAGTGGTAGAGCGCTTGCCTTGTATGCCTGAGACCCTGGGTTCGATTCCTCAGCACCACATAAGCAAAAAGAAAAAAGCCGGAAGTGGTGCTGTGGCTCAAGTGGTAGAGCGCTAGCCTTGAGTTGAAGAGCTGAGGGACAGCGCCCAGGCCCAGAGTTCAGGCCCCATGCCCGGACCCAAAAAAAAAAAAAAAAAGAAATATAAAAGAGAGAATGAGGGATAATGTAGTTTGGTGGAAATTATGGCCAACTGGCTTTTCCTTAACTTCTGAGTAAGTTGTTCCTCTGAGAATCTCATGGTGCTCCTTTCAAAATGGAGATGATAGTATCTACCTAGTGGAAGTTAAGGAAGATAACATCTAGCTGGTGAACAGCAAAGAGGCAGAGAAACACTAAGTGGTAGTGTTGTACTTCTGAAGTAGTACAAATGTCACTGCTCTATCTCAATCACGTTAGCTTCCTTCACCTAGATCTGGCCATGATGAGCCACACAGCAGAGAAGCCTCATCATCATGATGTGGACTTCATCAGAATCCCATCAGTCACTGTTTGCTGCACACTCAGAATTGTAGTAGGCACTTTGAGAAGTTCTAAGGAAGTCCTGAGCCTTTTGCTGCCCTCAAAGCACTTCTAGTTTCAACAGGGTTTGCCCAACTAGAAACAGTAGTCAACCATGAGAGAGCCTGAGATCCAGAGGGATTTTCCCTCCAATCAACCTTTCTCAGCCTGCAGGGATGAATGGATAAGTCATTTGCCCACTCTCAGAAGAACCCAGATAGATTATAAAAATAGCATTTACCAAGTTCCTCTGGGCTCTGCACCAAATTCCTTGAATCTTACTACAGCTACTACAGAAACAGTCATTAATGTTCTCACTTTACAGATGAGGACACTAAGACTCAGACAGCAGAAGGACTTGCTTTGGGGATCCTGGCTGGAGGGGGCTGAACCCATTG